CGACGAACATATGGAAGCTGATAGAGGAGGGAGAGGAAATGGTGAAGCAGAAGGTGAACCAGTGCAGTGCAGGGATGAAAAACGAAAAGAGGAAGTGAATACAATTTGTAAAACACCACACTGAAGAAAGGAGTGAAGAAGAGTGAGCCCAAAGACAAAAGACACTTCTACGACACACTGGCAAGTGAAGCAGATCTGGCCGCTAGTAGTGGAGACAGAGACCTGACAACACTATATCAAATAACCAGGTTACTTGCTGTCTGGGAAGGAAGAAATCAGCTTAGATGTAATTAATGAAAGATAGTGAAGGAAAGTTGGTTAGCAAAGAGGAGGAACAAAGGAAATGGTGTGTTGACCACTTCAAAGTGCTCTTGAATCGACCACCACCATGACATACAACTCGTCCAGAAATACCACCAGCAGCTCAGCTGCAGAATTACCAATGAACACAAGCCCTCCGACAAAAGTAGAAGCGAAATCTTGAACGCCATAAAGTTGGTGAAATGTGGGAAAGCCGCAGGACCAGGTGGAATTCCTCCAGAAGCACTGAGAACAGACTCAGAGACAACAGTGGACATGTTCACACCACTGTTGCAGAAGGTTTGGAAGGAGAGAAAGGTACCCGGATTTAAAATTACTACTGGAACAGGCTGGCTGAATTCAGGAAGAAAAACTCATGTGCAGATCAAATTGCAACGCTACGCTACGGTACGCATCATCATAGAACAGTGTAGAACGGCAGTCAACTCAACTTCGTCGACTTTGGAAAGGCCTTTGATAGGGTTGACTAAGAAGTAGTTTGCCAGACACCTGCTTCAACACTACGGTTTTAGTCCTACAAATCTTTATCAGCTTCATTCAACAGCTATATGCTATATGATGCTACACGCCAAATGATCCACAATAGAAAGCTCATCGACACCTTTGAAGTGAAGATAGTAGAGAGGAGTATGATAAGGCTGCCGCCTACTATCACCGATCATCTTCGTGGTTGTGGTCGACTGGACTGGACTGGATCATGTGGCAAACCGTGAGGAACGAGAAGATAGGCATACTCTGGATGAATCGATGAAAAGACCCCAGAAGAAGATTTGGATTTCGCCGATAATGATTTGCATCCAATGTTGTACAAACTTGAAGTTCTACAGGCAAAAACCAAAAAGTTGACAGAAGAGGCAGGGCTGAGAAGGAAGACGGAATTCAAATGATCGTAGAGAAGACAGAGGTGATGAAGATACCCAACCAACAACAACAACAGCAATAACAACAAGCACCAGTCATCATGAACAGGAGAAGTTGTCTCTTTCACCTACCTTTCTAATTAGGCAGCATCGTTCCAACTACAGGTGGCACAGATTAGGATGTCAAAGGCAGGATCAGAAAAGCAAGACAGGGTTTCATTAACCTGAAAACAGTGTGGACATCTACTGCACTCCACTCAGCACAATGCGTGAACAAATCCGGATTTTCAACACTAATGTCAGTCAAGTAAGACAGTGCTTCTATGTGATGGTTGAGAGACTCGGCGTGTTAGGAAAGCATCTCCAGTATACTGCAGACATACATCAACAGCTGCCTCCTGCGTTCACTCGATACTGACACTGAAGATCAGATGGCCAGAAAGAATAAGCGACTAGGAACTCTGACTGGCTGGGAACGAACCAACTAAAAACCTATCGCCCAATAGATATGCAGAAGAAAGTAGAGATCTATTGAATTGAGCATACACTGAGAAGACCAACTGGAGACATCACGCGCCAGGCCCTCGAGTGGAATCCAAAGAGGAAACGACCAGTTGGGCGTCTGAGTCGAGGGTAGCATGCAGGAGGTCGTGTGAGGAAGAAATAGAAACTTGTGGACAGAGTTAGAGCCAGGTCGAAAAGCCTGCAGAGAAGAGAGTGAAACGTTGACGTGCTAGTGAAGCCCTATGTTCCACTAGGAACCCAAGGGACAAATAATAGTAATAATGTTAGTCACTTTGCATCAGGTTTAAATGGCAACATCCTGGATACCGGATGAGTGTGACAGGTCAGTTAGTCAACCAGCTAGTTGATGGTGGGTTGGTTGTCATTCATACCACGCTTTCATCCCACCATCAGTCACAGCTTGATGCCTCAATTTCCGGGTGTTAGTGATTCATCAAGTGTTAAATTTGTTTCTGCTATTATCATTCAATCAGAAAATGATGAAAGTGGGTTGTGGAGATTTGGAAATATTTCAAGTTGTTATTCATCGAAGACTGACATCAGTTCTGACCCAGTGGCTCAATGGTAACGCGCTGGCCGCGGAACCTGGAGGTCGCGGGTTCGATCCCTGTTGGTGGGGTCGTGGGTGCGCACTGCTGAGGAGTCCCATACTAGGACGAAACAGCTGTCCAGTGCTCCCAGGTTTCCTTTGTTCCTCCAGATGATGTCAGTCTTCGATGAATAACAACTTGAAATGATGAAAGTGGTGATAATGAATAATACTTGATGCGAAAACTACGCATTCACATAAGTGAGCTCATTAGTACATTTTCTGTATACGCACAGAATAACATAATCCGTTTGACTCAAAAAAACAATCAGAACTGTAAGTTGAACTAATTTACTCCAGAAGAAAGAGTTTGAATGAAAGCTTTAATGATAGAGGTATAACTTTGTTGATCACTTACTTTACAAAAAAGTTTCCCCTTTTGTTTCTTATGTAGAGATAATTGTTCACAAAGTTGACATTGCAGCTGAAGTATTTATGCGAACATTCTGAAACATTTCACGCAGGTCTTACAAATCAGATGTATGTTAAAACAGTTTGCAATTAATCTGTTCTATGGCTAGTTAAAGTATTCAAAGGAAGAGATTCTACGCATTCAGTTAATTGTGGCAGCTTTGAAACATTTTTCAGGTTTCAGTAAAATTAAGCCAAATTCTAGAGTGTCAAAGGAAGCTATTACCGAAGCCGAATGAAGATTCAACTTCTACCCAAGGTTATCTGTGACAGTTTAAAACTACATATTTCAGGGTTGACTAGACAGTGGATGATGGGTAATAAATAAGTAGTATATGTAGTAGTGTTTGCGTCCAAATAAAGTAGTTAAAGTTGGCCACATTTTAACACAGTTAAATTCTATCACTGAGGTCATATATTTTTATAATCAGTGTGCTTAATAACTGAAGATAAGACTAAATATTTCATATACATAAGTGAGTTAGGTTCCCATAGAGCAAAAAGTAAGTATTTAGTCGCTTAGCAGTGCATTCATTATGTTGTCTACCTAGCTGAATGAATAAGCAGTGAAGCTTGAATTAAAGGATTTTATTCAAGGCAGAAAACGTTCTAAGCGAAGGCGAAACGGTCAAAACGTTTCTGCGAAAAAACTTTTCATTTCACTGA